CCCCCGGCCGCGCGTGAGAGATTTGTATCTATGAAGTGGGGTCTGCAGGAGGATCAAGTTTGTATCACGAGGTGGGACCGTCAACCATCTACTAAGCTTCTACAGCTCTCACCCGTCCCCTTCCTCCTCCCCGCACCAGCGAAATCTTTACCTCCATGACTAGCCCGTACGCGAAAAAGTACAGATACGCAATACGGTCGCTCTTGTGCTTGAACTTATCGGGCTCTCGCAGAAACGCTAGCGATCGGATCTGGAAGAGGTCATCGCCGCAAGCCCGGAAGGAGAGGGGGGGGGGGGTCGATGGGCGGGAATCGTGAGTGCACGATTCCATAGGCATTAAGCTCTTCCCGCAAAGCAAGATAATACTTAGCGTCCCGAAATGATCTTTCTTACCTGAGTAACCAATCGCCATCTTGCAGCCCGTGCGGCGGGCAGGAATTGGGGTAAAGGGGTTTTGGCTATCAATGAGCCAGACAGGATATGGAAATACATAAGGATCGCGGCGAACTTTACGGTAACGTAGGCAAGATGCGCGCACGGTGCGGGGTAAGGGGTAAGTCGTGATTGAATGCGACTGTCGCCCTATGGTCTTCTCTTCCTCCTCCCTCCTTGCTCGCCTTTGCATACCATATCTCTCCGAAACTTCAAGACTGGAAATATTACGCCGCTCCGAACGCCCTCGCCGAGTCCAACGATCCCCCGGCCATCCAGAGGATCCTCTCCGCCCTTTAGGATGCACCCAAGCATGCACAGTCGCTCGAAAATTGTCTCAACCCCCTCAACGATGCCGCGAATCGCGACCATATTAAGCGGGCCCTTAATACGCGGCTCGTTCGTCGCCAGACCAACTAACATGCGGTGCGAGGCAATCGACTTCCGCAGATGCTTTTCCAGCTTCGCGACCTCCGCCTCGAGAGCAGGTGCAGCTCCCGCTACAGGCCGCGGCGCCGTTCGCAGCGAATCCTCGTCGGGGTTGAACAAGATCGAAGCCAACCGTGAGTAGTGGATCCCACACGAGTAGATGGACCGCGCGACGCCCAGGCGCAGCTCGACGCGCGCGAGGAACGGCCAGAAGTACGACGTCATGATAATTGCCACGAGCACTCCGGCGAGGATCGCGACCACGCGCTTCCACGCTACCGTGACGATGCCGTCGGGTGCGCCCGGGTTGTTGAAGGTTAGAAACTCGACGACGACGACGACATTGATCGTGAGGAGCGCCGTTGTGCCTAACCGGACTTGGGAGGTATTGAGGAATACGAACCACCACGGGTAGGACCATGTGATGATGAAGAAGGAGATTACATAGCTGTATGGGTAGTGACGGTTAGCTCGAGAGCTTAGTACCTGCGGTTCCGCCTGCCTCTGGATCCCCTAATCAGCTACCACTTACGGATTTGCGGGCGCTACAACCCAGGCTAGGCATCCCCACATGGCCCCTGCAACCGTCCCGACTACTCGGATCAATCCAGCGTTGATTGAACCACCGACAATAGGGGACATAACGATGTAGAGCTGGAGGAAGAGGGGCAGGATAAATGAGCACTTGAACGCTGGAGGAAATGGGGAGGGGAGGTTGTAACTTACTGTAATAACAGCCCAGTTGCCTTTGAATTCCGTAAACCTGCCGAATAGGAAACGCTCATTAAACCATTTGTCATAAAATTGCCGAATAGGAAACGCTCATTAAACCATTTGTCATAAAATTGCGTCTTTCGTCATCTTGTCATCATATACTTCAGCAAGACTCACCAAGCGTTCGCAAAGTATGCCGGAGAAGATAGACATGACGGCGAGGCCCAGCTTCAAAGCGTAGCGGGCTTCGTGACGTTTGAACCAGCTAAGAAACCGCCATAGCTTATATAGAAAAATTTGCGGCCCCGTAGTCGGGTAGGTATTCACTTTTCCTTGCACGTAGGGGGAGGAGACTACGTAAGCAGCAAGGGAAGAGGGGATAATATAGCGTCAATATGATTAGAGCTCGATGTTAAAAGCAGTTGACGACCATATCTCAATGGTCTGGATCCAAGCCAATGCCTCACCAGGCCTCGCCCACTCCGGAGAGTTTAAGCAGGAAACTCACAGGGATCATCAACGTCTCTTGACGGCCTGTAGATGTCCGCGCTTTGCACCAACCATTCCCGCAATGGCATCTGCGGGAACCAACATCTTCTCCTCTCCACCCTGCGCGACTCCAGCCGCTCAGAAGCAATGGATAGGCGAAGGATTTGCTTGGAGCACTCGCGGAGGTTAAACATAAAGAAGTAAGCAAGGAGGTGTTCGGAGCGCATAGGGTCGGACGCGGTTGGTTCTGGTCCTGCAGCGTCCGCAAGGCCGTTTACGAACTGCCAATGGTCCTCGTCGAAAGCCTCAAGAGCTTCTTGAAGTCGAGAGTTGGCCTCCGCGACTCGCGCTCCCGGTCCGGAGGTGCCGAGATCTGCACTGTCCATGGCAAGCGAGACAAGGTCGAGGCAGGACCCGCAGGCGAGGACGAGGGCGCGCGCGCAAGGAGACACGCGGACGATATAGCGCGCGAGAAGGTCGGGATCGCCGGCTGCTATCTCGGGGCCTTCGAGCGGGATATGGTGCCCCGATGCGAGGTCCGCGAGCAGGTCGTCCTTAATGACGGGAGACAAGCGGTTTGTCGCGTTGAGTGCGGATGATGGGTGCTCCTGCGGCGTGCCGGTGGGTGCCCGGCGCGAGGCGAATAGGATATTTTCGGATTTGATGCACGTCCCGATGCCGCCGAGGTACTTAAGGGATCCCCCGAGTGGTCCGATCAAGGATGCGTAGTCCCTCCACGAGTAACGACAGTACATACCCTCGAAGCGGCTCTCGCGAAGGGTCATGCGGAGGTTCGCGAGCGAGGTGCGGACCTTAGCGTGCTTCGCGATAACGACCGAGGTCGAGATAGCCTTCTCGTCGCGAAGGAACGTATGCACTAGCGTATCGAGAGAATCCTGCACCTCGTGAAGGGTCGAACGAGCGGTGCGATGAAGAAGAACGGCGCCGTAAACGGGCCGGAACAATACATTCACGGCTAAGACACAGGCGAGACCTGCCAGCTACATTTACAAATCGCGGGCTATGAGAATAGAAAATATCTAGCGACTCTGTATCGAACAAAAAATATGCTGGGCCGTCGCACTCCGGTTGTGGCGCACACTCACGAGTGGGTAGGTGATCTCCGTCGTCCTATAGGTGGAAAACGCGACGGCGTCCGAGTCAGCCGTCAAGGTAAAAGCCAGGATGACGAAGGCATGCACAGTTCCGGGAGCGAGCTTCGGGAAACGGACTCGGACAAATCCCATCAGGGAAGAAGACAAGACGAAAAACGTTATCAGGATCAAGGGGCCGCCAGTACCCGAGTATTGCGAGTTGTATGACGCGACGCAGAGTGATCCCAACAGACTGATCACGACCGCGACCGACATGCAAACAACTTTGGCAGTGTCGAGAGGATATGGAGCCGTAAGTTTTGACGGATGGGAAATCTCCCTCGTGGTCGCCCCCCCCCTGTTCCTTCCTCGTGGTCAGACTTACCACACACAAAGACCATTTCGATCATGCTCCCCACAGTCCTGACTATGAACGGTGCAGAAATGAGTAAAGAGAGCAAAGGTTTTCGATGACAGGAGACGCTCAACAAAAGGCGGATGGGAAGGTCGGGAGAGTAGGGAGCTTACCTGGGTGAAGGTTCAATGGGGCCACAATGGCAAGATAGACGCCTGGGCCCAAGGCCTGGGCAATCGGAGCAATGAAAGCAAGGACGGTGCAAAGAAAAAAACCTAGTGTCGCCTGGGGTCTTTGTCAGGGAGGTCTCTTCCTGTCACCAGTGTGTGTAGGCTTGCTCAGGCACGCAGGCAGCCAGTAGCGGGCAGCCCCACTTCTAGAGGGGTAGACGCACTCTCACCTTTGCGCAGTCGAGGTGCTTATCGAGGGGGATCTGGAGAAGGAAGGTGACGAGGGTGTCGATCTTGACGCGCCATGACGTTTTTTCTGTTGGTCTTGAGTCCTCGATATTGACGTTGGGGGGAGAAGACAAAGGGAGCAGGGGGACAGAGTTTGGAGTGGACGGGGTTGCGGGAAGGATGTCGTGAGACGACGGCATGTGTTTGTCGTTCGGAGAGAATTGGTTGAAAGGCGGACGGAGGTTGAAAGGCGGGTGGAGGTGGACGCGTCCTTTTTGGAATCGATCGATTCTTCGGACTCCGACAACTGATCAGTAGCCTGAGCCTCGGAAAATCCCGACCACCAGCTCGCTTTCAGCTTTCCTGTTTTGACTGACGTTCGGCGTCCGAAGACAAGAAGGTGGACGTCACTGGGGACTCTGTTGACTTGACCCCCCTTACTTAGTAGGCTTTCCCGGAACTCCAAAAATCAACCGGGGTGGTGACGCTTGTCAGTCAATCGCTAGAAGAGACCCATCTGGCAAAAAACAAAAAATCTTTCAACCCATTCAGCGCTCCCGGGTGGGCTTGAACCACCAACCTTTAGATTAACAGTCTAACGCGCTGGCCAATTGCGCCACGGGAGCTGTTTCTTTATTAAATCTCAACCAATAATAAATTTTAAAAATTTTATTTCAAGATCGAGACTCTTCCATCACGTATAAAGAACAAGGACTCCACCTCTTCACGAACATCATCAAAACACGATGTACGCTCCGATCCATGTGGGCCACCGCATTCAAGTTCGTGCTCACTGTCCTCCCGGCGGAGTGCTTCAACCAAGTATGTGCCTCGCTGCTTGGTTCGGTGCTTGAGGCCCGGTGGTGCATAAGCCTGCCCAACATTTGGCTCGAGTTGCTGACGCCCGCGTTCCTCCCCCGGCCCTTCTTTCCGCCCCGCATTGCATGAACTGAAGGCCAACGCCGCTGCCTTAACGGGGGCTACCGTCGCGTCGGTACGTCCAATCGGTCCATTCAGTTTGGCGCTGTCACCAACTCTGCACACCTGCCTCTGAACGGCGTTCAGCCGCGTGGGTCACTCCCCCTTCCGCTTCTTGCCCCCCGACTGCCGAAAAACATCAACCCCCGCGAAAAGAGCTGCCTCTGCAAGATTGGCAAAAGAATCACAGCCACGATCACGAAATACGAGACCCTACTCGCGAATTGTGAGTTTGGGGTTTGGCTTAGCCCAGCGATTAGTTTACCATCCAAACATCTGACCGCTGACCGTTTCGAATACGCCACCCGCCCTCCCCCCGCTTGCGCCCTCGTCTTCTGCGAGAAGACCCCGAAGGTTCCCACCTACGGCTGTACTCTCCTGGCGGCCGATTTGCGTTCGACCATTGGCGATCTCATGAGCTCTGACAGGCCGACGAAGAACTCCTTTTCCGCCATCATATTCGCGGGCTCGGGGCAGATCCTCGCCTACTCCATCTCCAAGATTACCAACTATACGAGTAAATATGGAAATATCTTCAAAAGAGGGTGGCGGCAGCGTCGCGCTTTCACGAATACTGATCCCTCCTTCCCTATCCCCTACATAACCCGCCTTCATTTTCCCCAGCCACCCCTCGAGACGGCACCTCTCGCCAGTCTGATGGATGTTGGCGAGTATCTCCTCGGGAAATATGGGTCGTACACCAAGTTCCGACAGCCTCCCTCACAGCGACTTCTGGTGGCCAGTAAAGGTAGGTATTATGAGACAGAGTCTGTCAAGCTCGATTCGATGGATTCTCTGCTTCTCATTGTCGGCGTGCCGTATTCCGAGGTGTTAGGTCGTCCAAGAACTTTCCTGTTAGGGATTTATTGGTTTTTTGGGTATCTTGGTGTGATTTTGGGAGGGGGACAGGATGCCATTTTATGACAAAATACCATTCTCACTCCATATTCTCGTGGTTCGCGCTGTTTTTGTTCGTCATGACAAACCATGAGACGCACAACGGCTTTGACGGTCTGGCGGACTGGAATACATATGCACTTGAGAAAAAGAGAAAAAGAAATGCATGCCCATGGGCAATCGGGAGCAAGGGAGGCGCTACCACCTGTTCTCTGGCTCTTCCTCCGTATTTTCATGCGAGAGGGGCAAGTGGAACGATAATCCATTCGTGGTGAAAATCCACGAGAGGCACGATGGCTTTGAACGACCAAGGCCAACTTCCCATTGAAGCATGAGGTCGGGCCATTCTTCATGCTGCCTCTTTGGTCCGCCTCCGTCCAACTAAGGAAAATGATTTTTCCTCACACCAGCACATTTGTTGGCACAATTCCTTCCATTTCTCATTTGAGAATCTTTGGAAGTGCCATCTATGTTCCCGTCATGGAGATCAAAGGTGCCCATTTTCCCCAGGTTGGGTGGGTGCTATTTAAAGCAAAAGGTCAATAGGCCACCAAACCCAGAAGTGGTTGAAGAAAATACTAAAACTGGTAGACAATACTGATAAATTAGTATTGTTCTCCAGTGTCTAGACAATACTAAGTATTGTTGTCCATTGCCTGGACAATCCTAAATCTTAGCATTGTTGTCCATTAGACAATGGCCATTGCTCACTTCATTGTAGACATAGTTGATGCAACAAAGTACAGTGATTCCTGTAAAGGGCGTGTGGGCTAATTCATAATCAATGGAGACTCTTCCTATCGGCAGGCAATTTATGGACAGTATCTCATGACTAGACTGGATCCACTGCGTCTCAAGTATTTATCAATCCTACTTGGAGCAAAGACTCCTGATGACGGTATACTAAGTGTTCACAGTCTTCCAATCTCAAGACGTAGGATACACCATAGTCGAAATCCTTTAGTCGTATGGGAATTCTCATAATAAGGATGTTATGTTGTGACAAAATACCAATATCACTCTAAATGCTTGTGTGACCGAGGTGTAGACGCTGCCACCTGTTTGCTGGTTCGTCCCCAGTATTTTCATGGCGAGAGGGGTGAGTGGACCGATAATCCATATGCCGTCGTTGATTGCCATCGATCAACTGTAGAGCAGACCGGCAGAACAATACTCTAAACGCAGACCCTGCTGCAACGAATCCTGTTTGTGACCTGTCAGGTGGAGTGAAGGAGGCGGAGAGTCAGTGCGTGATCAGGCGCCGCAGGCGCGAGCACAAAAAATTCGCTGAACGTCAGGGCTAATCTCCGTGGCAATATCGTGTACTGACATTTGGCAAAAAAAGGGCCCAAAAGTGCTGTCCTGGCGGTATGTAGCATTCCTTCCTCGACGCTCAGGGGACCAAATTCCAGGTGCCCCAGGAAAATCTACACCTTTTCTCTTTGTATTTTCAACTTAAAACATGTGTCAAAAACAAGGATGAAATAAAGAAAAGCGTTAGACGATCCTCAAGAGGGTTAACAAAAAAATGTTTCCATGGACATGGGGCTACAAAGGATCTGAAAAAGAACGGCTCGGGGGAGGGGGGGAGATGTGGTGTGGAAATGGGAAAGGGCGGAAGTGTAGTGCGGTGCCAAAATAAGGATAGCACAAGGGTACATGCTTGCAAAAAAGTTGCACATGGGGTACGCGACAAAGGAATCAACCACCAAGACAGATTTGAAAGAACAGCTCGGTGGGAGGGAGAAGGGGGGAGAGATGCTGCGAAGCTGAGCGGGGGGAAGGGCGGAAGGGTGGTGCGGTGCTGAAATAAGGGTAGCAAGGGAAGGTGCATGCAAAAGGCAAGGCAGTGGGAGCAGAATCCATTGTTAGAAAAGTACGAGGCTGACTTCGGGAGCCAGCTAGGAGTGCGACTCCAGCCCCCTGGCAACCTCATCAGGCATCTGACCTCATAACTTTACGTAGAAACAGACTACCTATAATGCTGGTCGGACGTGAAAGTAATTGCGTCAACAAGATCTGTGAAGAATCCCAGCGCCTGCTTGTCCAGCGGGTTGCTGTTGAAGCCGATCTCTACAACACGGAGGTTCAGACATCCCACTTTCAAGTCCACAATAAAGGCAAGTGGGCTAAGGTGGTGTTGAAATAGCCAGGGAGGTAACCTCCCAGGCCCAGGAACTCAAGCAGCGCGGTCGACTTGCAGATGTAGGCCAGAAGTTCATCATCGATGCGGCAGCTGCACGAGATATTATTGAGGACTTGTTTTTGTTGAGAATTGGGGTAATGGAGTTGAGTGTCGATGGGGATTAGGAAGTGTATGGGCTATAGGACAAGAGGCCGATGGTTCTGGGAGTCATGAAGATGTCACTGCCTTCAATACATGGGAGTGCTGGTCAGCTGCAACGTACCATGGAAACCACAAGGCAATTGAAGAGGCAAGGTTTCATTCATTCCTGCGGGATGTAAACAAAGCAGCTCAGCTGCAAGCCGGAGCTCGACCTCCTCCTAGTCTTTGGACTACTTGCGGTTGCCAGTCGAAACTCAACAGTCGCGCAAAACGACAAGATTAGCGACGACTACGACTGAGCTACAATACGTCAGTGCGCTCCATAAATATTTTTCTGACTGGTCAGAGCTTCTTCACACACCACTCCACGTCCATCGGCTCTATTGGTAAAGGCTCGCTCACTAGAGCTCGCGCTGCGTCCAATGCCACCCAAATCATCCCAGTAAACCTTGGATATTGCCAAAGGAGACGTTTCTCTGGGCTGGGCAGGTTAAGTTGGAACTGGACGGGGGCATGGAGATTGGACATTGAGCACGAAAGCACCTTTGAGTGTCGGCGACAAATTGAGTGTCGAGAGACTTGGCCTGGTGAGCCGCTGAGTTCAAAGAAAGTCAAAGGAGTCCCAGAATCTGTGAGAAGGAAATGAGCTGCCTACTCAGGAGGTAGCAAGGAAGAGGAAGCACAACCCGTACATAGTCTCCTTGTTGATGAAACAGATTTTCTAATCTCGTCATCCTCCGACCACAGGCAAATGGCCGAGATGATGGAGTAATGCATGCCTGACAAGCAATCAAATCAGCCCAGTAAGATGATTTGTGTTGCCCGAAGGAGGTGAAGAGGAATGACTGGAGATCAAAGGTGCCCATTTTCCCCAGGTTGCGTGGGTGCTATTTAAAGCAAAAGTCAATAGGCCACCAACTCAAGAAGTGTTTGAAACACAATACTAAAACTGGTAGAGAATACTAAGAAATTATTAGTATTCTCCAGTGTCTAGACAATATCAAATACTCAGTATTGTAGTCATGGACAATACTAGAAATTAGTAATGCTGTCCATTGTCTAAACAATACTAAATCTTAGTATT